TTCGAGTCCCAACTCCCAGAGAAATCCAGTACACAGGCCCGCAACATGTCCTCTAGAACTTGGTTCAAGCGTTCCGTTTGGCCATCAGTTTATGGGTGATACACTGTGCTGAAATCCAATCGAGTGCCCAACGCTTTCTGGAGTCCGCGCCAAAATGCTGAAGTAAACCGTGGGTCTCGGTCTGATACGATCGACACAGGGACCCCATGCAACCTGACGATTTCCTTCATGTACAGTTGTGCCCACATGTCCACTGTGTAGGTGTTCTTGCCGGGGAGGAAATGTGCTGAATTCGTTAATCTGTCCACGACCACCCATATGACCGTGTAACCCTTTAGTGTCTTGGGCAGGCCCACTATAAAATCCATGACGATGTTCTCCCACTTCCACTTCGGTATGTTGAGGGGCTGTAGTAATCCTGCTGGTCTCTATCTGGGTGCTTTAACCTGTTGGCAAACCAAGCATCTGCTGACGAACTCCGCGATATCCTTCTTCATACCACACTACCAGAAATGGGATCTGATGTTCTGATACATCTTCGTGCCGCCAGGGTGCATGACAAATGGGGAGTTATGCGCTTCACTCAGGATTTCACCCCTCAATTCTTGTATCGCCGGTACACACAAGCGACTGTGGTACTGTAACCCACCATCCGCTGCCTTAGAGTACCCATCCGCTGGTTCTTTTTCCATTTCGTTAAGTGCCCTAGATAAACTGGAGTCCCTTGCCTACGCCTCAATGATTCTTTGTCGAAGGGTGGGTTGCACCGTTATTCGAGCCAGTTGCGCCTTAATACCCTCCAAGGCTACTGTTATCCCCGCTCGCTCGAAGTCTACCTGCACTCGGGTTCTTTCGTGATTAGTGTCGACGAATGCGCTGCCTTCCTACTTAAGGCATCTGCGACCACGTTGGCCTTCCCGGGGTGGTACTGGATATCTATATCATAATCCTTGACTAGCTCTAGCCACCGTCGTTGCCTCATATTTAATTCCTTCTAGGTGAAGAAGTACTTCAGGCTCTTATGGTCGGTATAGATTTGAGTCCTCTCCCCATACAGGTAGTGTTGCCATATTCTTCTCATAGTTCTTCAGTTGTCTGGATGCGTAGGCAATAACCCTCCCACGTTGCATCAACACGCACCCTAGGCCCTTTTTGGATGCATCACTGAAAATGACGTAGTTCCCTGTACCATCGGGCATTGTGAGCACGGGTGCGGTCGCCAGTCTCTCCTTCAGGTCCCGGAAGCTTGCCTCGCACTCCTCGGTCCATACAAACGTTGTAGCCTTTTGAGTCAGTCGTGAGAGCGGTGCCGCTATCTTTGAGAAGTCCGGAACGAAGCGGCGGTAGTAACCTGCCAGACCCAGAAAACTCCGTACCTCAGTCACAGTGGTTAGACGGGCCCAGCCGGTGACTGCCTCCACCTTGGCAGGGTCAACTGACACTCCTTCTGCCGATATCACATGTCCTAGGAATGAGACTTAGCGTAACCAAAACTCACGTTTCGAGAATTTGGCATACAACCCATTTTCCCTCAAGACTGTCAAGGCCTTCCTCAGGTGTGTTTGGTGCTCCTGATCCGTCCTTGAATATACCAGGACGCCTTCTTCCTTGATCCTTGCCACGCTGGCTAGTATCGCCCAAGCCCCGTGATGGACCAGCTTCTTCGCCTTCATCATCGATATCACCTTGGGCATCGTACCCAGACTAGTGCCCTTGAACCTGAACCTGGTCCTCGACGATGGCGTGAAAATGACCTCCTCCTTGTGACAGTCTATGCTAGCATGGATTTCCACAATATTTTCCACATATCCATGTTGCAAAAATACACGCTGGTATCCACCCACGTTATTGAGCATGAAGCTCTCCCATTTCGAGAGGAGGCTCAGTCCAAATTTTAGCTTTAGATGTCAAGCGGGTGCCACCAACGGTATTGAGCATGAAGCTGTCTCGTTTCGGGACGCTTCTAGTTTTGTCAGTGCCAATTTAGTCTTCCTCATATTACTATATCTCTAAAGTCAATAATTTTATATGAGGAACTGCTGTCAGTTTTCTGTTGAGGTCTATTCTATGGAGGTACTCAAATTGGATTAGTGATTGATATGAAATAAGGAGGCCCCCTTGTCAAAGTCATGTGGGGTAACCACCAGGATAGCGATGCTACAACGGAGGAGGAACTACTGTCAGTTTTCTGTTTAGGTCTATCCTGTGGAGGTACTCAAATTGGATCGGTAATCGATACGAAGAGACCCCAATGCGAAATAAGGAGATCCCCCATGTCAAAGTCATGTGGGGTAACCATCAGGATAGCGATGCTACAACGGAGAGTGAGGATCACGTCAGGAAGTCCTATCCCGTATGCTACAAGGGAGCGCGAGGATACGTTAGGAAGTCCTTCCCTAGCTCTTTCAGGAGCAGCCAACTTTCGAGGTCGAAAGTTCCTAAGGAAGGGAGAACAACAAGTACAAACTCACACTTCAATATCATAAGTATCATAAGTTTCCTCCCATCTTTTATGGGTTCTTATATTTTATCAGAGGCTTTAGTGATTTTCAAACCGATGCATAAGGGGAAAATGCTAAGAATACCTTGAAAAATTCAGGTCCAAGTCAACAAGCGACAAAAGGGTAATTTTATCCCCCAACACCAAAGTACTGCTCATTTAAGAAGCTTAAGAAGTAGTATGAGGTTTTGAATTGTTCGATTTCGTGGAGAAACGGGCAAGAACACGAGTAAATTTGCGGAGCCTTCCTTTTAGGATTCCGCCTTAGATCCATGAATTTTTTTTGGATTAGCTCTTAATATTCAACTACAATGCTCTAGGGGAGGATTCTTGCAAGTTTCGCAAGAAAACTCGGCCAAAAATTGCGTCAGAAATCAAAACCGATAAACACTCAAATCTTGTAAGAAACTTAAATTCTTTCAAACTTCGAACTAGGAAAATATTTCTAGATAAGTAAACTAAAGGTCTTGAAATTTCGGGAAGGAATCGAGTTTATACGAGTTACGGATTGGAAGATATAGAAGCCCAAAATAAATGGTTTGAAATGCGATTTTGATTGGAATCTGAAAATTAATATTGGTTTTAGACAATCGCGATTTTGATTGGAATCTGAAAATTAATATTGGTTTTAGACAATCGCGATTTTGATTGGAATCTGAAAATTAATATTGGTTTTAGACAATCGAACACGCGACGACGGAAGAGAGGAGAGGCGTGTTTATGACCAAGGGTGGACACGTGTCGGGAAAACAGTGGATAAGCGTCTCGATGTCGTACCACTAACATGCGTTGCTCACCTGTTACTCGAATGTCGACCCAAAATACACCCGAACTGAAAATTGACTTGCGCTCGTGAGGTGACCCGACAAACCATGGTCCAACCTGATGTCTCTCTACCAATCCTTGCACACCATGTGTTGCACCCATAAAAAATTCTATCAGTTTACGTTTGCCAGGGTTCGAAGGTCGTCCTTGCTTGCATGCTACCCTGACCTCACATGCAATGTGCGTGGAGATCCCACATGGAAGTGTGGGTTGCCAATTTCCGATTTAAAAAATAATTCTATTTTACTGTGAATAAGGTGTCCGGGTAGAGAGACTTCATAATTTTTGGACTCCTCTATTCCTATAAATCAAGCTCGAGAAAGCACGCAGCAGATCGGTAAGTAACCACACATAATTGAGAAGAATACTAGTAAGGTTCGCTTGGTATTGCATATATGCCAGAGAAATTTACTTCTAGTGGCTAGATCCCCGAAAATTTCCTATACTTAGGAAGCTAGTTATACATACTATGGATTTGATACCTTAGTGGAATGTTTATATTTGATCATGTTATGCAGGCAAACGAGCTTATTGCCCCGATGAGCTTATGTGGCACTCTGGGTGTTTATTGCCCCGATGAGCTTGTGTGACTACATCTGCGCTCTGGGTGTTTATTGAATGATTGTGCTCCCATTGAATGATAAGTAGTAGCGTTGACTACATCTGCGCTCTGGGTGTTTATTGAATGATTGTGCTCCCATTGAATGATAAGTAGTAGCGTTGAGTTAAGTCTAGGGTGTACCCTTGTACAGACTGGGTTAGTTTTAGATAGAAGACCCTCTTAATGATTGTGCTCGGTGCTTAACCCTACAAACTCAAAAATGAAAGATCAATAAAACCTTTTTCATTTATTGGACAGGAATTCGTATTTTCCCCATCTCAAAAATGTAGAAGGACTAAACAGTTAGTTATTTCTTTCATCGTCCCACACATGGCTGGCAATATTAACACTGATGGCACGTAAATGTGTTGTCGATTAATCACGTTCAATTTTTATAATTTTCTAATTTTCCAAACTTTTAAGTACCATTTTCAATTTTTATAATTTTCCGTTCAATTTTTATAATTTTCTAATTTTCCAAACTTTTAAGTACCATTTTCAATTTTTATAATTTTCTAATTGTTCCAAACTTTTAAGTACCATCTTCAATTTTATAATTGAGTAAACAAAAGAAGTGTTTGAATGAAACTAGAAGTTATAGCCCCTATTAAAACCACTCTAACCTAGAGACGTAGAGAACTACCTCATAACCCCAAGATGAAGGAAATAGATTCCTTAGCCAACATGAGTTGATATAGTGTTTGAGGATCATCCACTTCCCTTTCTACTCCTTAGCCAACATGAGTTGATATAGTGTTGAGGATCATCCACTTCCCTTTCTTCTCCCGTGCGATACCGTTGAGCTAAGCGTGACGCTAGTTAGGATTGTGTTACTAAGTAGTAGACCAACTACTCAACATTGTAGATTAGTCTTTTTTTCATTCTTATAAAAAATTTAATTCCTATCAATCACCCTTCCACACGTTTTGTACTCCGTTGAATAAAGTTGAGAGTGGTTAGAAATGCATAAACATGAAAGAGAACATAAAAGAAAGAAATGAATAGTTTTTATTTGAGGTTTTGTTAAGAGAAGGAAAAAAGAATGGGAGTTTAATGTGGAGTGAATGAGGGGGTTCACATGACAGTCCAGCACGACGCCGTCTTGGGGTTCCAAAGAGCAGGAAGAAGGAACTTCTTGCCCCTTAACCCAACCACATTGTAAGCGCCTCCGTTGAGAGGGTCAACTAACACCTTCCCAGTGTTCCCAGGGGAGGCTCCACTGCCGAACATCCCAGGGCAAGCGGTGGAGGCTTCAATCACGCTCGCCTTCTGCCCCAGCTGGAAGAACCCAGTGCTGAACGGGTTGGTTACCACCGAGGCCAACCCCGAGGCCAGTGATATCACCATAGCGTCGGTCGCGACGTCCCCGCTTGGTGGCTTCAGAACAGCGCCGGCTGGGCCGTAGTCAGACTTGTGGAAAGGCCATGCACATGCTCCTGGGCACTCGGTCATAGGGTTCCCAATAATCACGTAGGGCGCCCCGTCAATAACTCCATGCTCTGCACACTTCCCCATGCACAGACCGTCCACGGTCACGTCCCTAGCCGCAACAATAACGGTGACCGCACCAGGGAACTCACCCACAGCTTTCTGCACGTGAATCTTGATGAAATCCTTGGTCATAATTTTTCCAAGAGAGTACTGGGGATCCACGTATTGTTTGACCACCTTCACATTAATATTCCCAGCGGTGGGGTTATAAGAGCTGAGCATGCGCCACCAGGAGGATACCTGTGGGGCACCCCCGACCCCGACTCGGCCATCGGTGTTCAAGGACCCCAAGAAAGACCTGAGTGTGTTCTTCTGTATGCGCCCGAACTGACCGTAGAACACCAGCGCAAGGTTGATATTTCCCTTCAGCATTTGGCCGCCATGGCTAACCAATGGGTTGGCTTTTGTTATGGCGTTGGGATCAGCCGCATGAGCCTGAGCCTGAGCCTGAGCCTGAGGAACGGGCAGTAGAAGGAGAAGGGAGATGGCTACTACGCCAAAGAATGCACTTACAATATGGCTATGTCCACCACAACACACCGCCATAATGTCCTTATTTTTGTGTTGTGGAGCTATAGCATTCGGTTGTGTTGATCTTCCTTTCCCGTCTTTCCCCTTCCCCCTGCTGGCCTTTATATACCCATACCCATACCCATGCCCATACCCATGCCCATACCCATGCCCATACCCATACCCATGTTGGATTGGGGCTGTTGGATGGCCCATCATAATCGGATTTTCTTTGTTATTTGCTTCCTCTTCGGGATCCATTTCTTTGTTTCTTTCTCACCCTATATTCACCTTTTCTATTATTAACCTCATGGCCTTCTCTCCACTTATTTTTTTTAACTTTTTTGGTATCATTTTTATGGTTTGTAATATTACCTTACTAACCAGATACATAACATAATACAAACTCTAATGGTATCATACATAACATAACTTTTATCATAGAATAACATAACATTCTACGCATCAAAGAGTCACGAAAGACGACACATAGATGGGCCATAGAGAACACGTAGTTCATGTTTCATATTATTCATTCAACCAAACCAATAATAAAACCACTTACATAATTGGTCTAAAAAAAGTCACTAATTTCTTGAATTGAAATTGATACTACTCATGTGTCACAATTACGTATCTTACCATTTTGTGTGTTCAAAAACTCATTAATTCCTTTAGGCAACCACATGGTTCTCTAGTTCTCTTGCTTTTATAAGGTTAGTTTTCAATTTAAAATAAGATTAGTTTCTTGACTACGAGAAATATTATGGAGACAAGAATCAAATGAAGATTAAAAAAAAAACTAAAGAAGAAAACAAATCATGATTGTCAAAACAATTCAAGAAAAATATTTTTAGATATGTTGACTTGAGGTCTTGAAATTCCGTGAAGAAATCGAGTTTCTTCGAGCTACGGATTGGAAGATATAAAAAGCTAAAATAAATGGTTTGAAACACAAATTTGATTGGTATCTGGAAAAAAATATTGTCTTCAACAATAGGCGACGAACACTCGATGGCTGATGAGAGGAGAGACGCGTCGGGCACACAATGGAGAAGCGTGCCGACGTCATAAGTTTAGACGAGTTTTCTACCTACTACGCGAATTGCTAACCTGAAATACACCCGAGTAAAAAATTGACCCGCACCTGTGAGTTGACCCGACAACCCACGGTCCAACCCAACGTCTTTTTGCCAATCCTTGCATGCCACGTGTTGCACCCATAAAAAATCACGTAACTTCATCTGCTAGGGTTCGAAGGTTGTCCTTGCCCACATGTTGCCAACGCTGACTGCACGTGCGCCCTTGCCTGTTTTTCATCCTGATTTTAATGCTAATCCTATTTTACTTTGAGGTGTTTGTAGAAGGACTTCATAAATTTTGGACTCTCTACATTCATAAATCAATCTGGAAGGCACGCGACAGACCGATAAATAACCACACGAAGTTATGAAGAGAGACTTCATAAATTTTGGACTCCTCTACATTCATAAATCAATCTCTGGAAGGCACGCGACAAACCGATAAATAACCACATGAAGTTATGAAGAATTCTTTTAGGGTTCGCTTGGTATTCCATGCAAACAAGTGGTCCAACCTGACGTCTTTCCACCAATTCTTGCACGCAATGTGTCGCACCCACAAAAAAATTGGGTAACTTTACGTCTTCTAGGGTTTGAAATTCGTCCTTGTCTGCAAGCTGCTTGCGCTGACCACGTGTGCGCCCTGCGCATGGAGCCTGAGCATGGGAGCGCATACCCGTGCGTGGGGAACCCTACTGTTAGTCGTTTTGATGCATGGTTGCCAATTTTTCATCTTGATTTCAATGCTAATCCTATTTTACTGTGAATTAGGTGTTTTTAGAGAGACTTCGTAATTTTTGGACTCATCTACATTTATAAATCAATCTCGGTAAGGCACGTGACAGATCGAAAAGTTACTACACGAAATTAGGAAGAATTCTTGTATATGTAATGAACTAGCTATCTTAACGAAATTTCATACTCAGGTTTGTGTATGCTTATCTGGAATGTTCTAATACTGCTTATATTCGATCATGCAATGTTGACGGATGGGGTATTTTTGTATTGGCACTCTGAGTGCTGATAGACTTTATCACCTCGTTTAGCTTGTGTGGCTGCATGCTAGTTAAATGCTTGCTGATTGTATGAACTTATTATTTGATTGTTAACCAGTTGCATTGAGTTAAGTCTAGGGTGTGCCATTGTAGAGACTACTAAGTTAGGTTTAGATAGGGGACCCTCCTAATGATTGCGTTCACCGTGAGAGACGACTAGAGGGTGAGATCTTTAACCCCAAGCCGCTACAGTCTTGGGAAGTTATGTTTAAATGAATCTAGAAGCCAAAACCCCTATTAAAACCACCCAAATACCCTTAGACCTGAAGAAGAACCTTAGAATCCTTATACAAAGGAAAGAGATTCCTTAGCCGAAATGAGCTAGTATAGCGTTTGAGGACCTTCCACTTCTCTTTCTACTCTTGTGCGGTACCGTCGAGCTAGGTGTGACGCTGGGTAGGGTCGTGTTACTTAGTGGTAGACCAACTACTCGACATGGTAGATCCGTCTTATGGTAAGATGTTGATCCTGCAGGTAGGTCAAGGTTGCCTACATGGCAGTTCGTCCTATGGGAGAATGTTGACCACGTGGGTGACTTGTTCAAGCTAGCTTATATTGGGAGGTAGCACCTCCAATCCTTAAGTGACATCATGGCCTATGGGACGTTCGCTATTTAACCTTCCTATCGACGACTAGTAGGCTAGGTCTCACATGATGTCTCCCACCTTGGTACAGAGTTATATGAGGTAACGTCTCATCTTCTGACACCGAATACTACTATAAAAGTTAAGTTCTTCTACCCGAGCTATGTACTGAGATTTCCAAAACTCTAGGATCTAAAGTATAACCGGTGGTCCTCTCCTAAACGATAAAATCCTACAAGTAGGTTGCTTACTAGATATATTTATAATTATCGAATTCTACAGTTTTTTTCAAGTCTGTGAAATTAAATCGTAGTGTTGGGTTGTTGTCAACTTCTCCCTACCCGATAGTTATATGTTGTAAGTCATTGTTGTTGCTTTTTTGCTTGCATCACATATAACACTAATTTAAATCTCTCAAATCTTGCTTTCAAAACTCTATTTCGCAATCTCTCTGCCCTTTTTCTAAAACTTTCTTCTTGAACCGGGGCCAGAGGCTCGAGCATACGTGGCTTGGCCATAGGCGACACAAGAACGAATTGGCTTAACTCACTTGTTGCTAGGAAGTGTGTGCCACACAATCGCAAGTCCACTGCCATCAAAAGTGCGATTGGAGAGCTTGAAAGTCATGAGGGAATATTGACTTTTCTTTTTGGTAGCTCAATGACAGATTCAAAGTCAATACCTATACCAATAGGGTGTACCTTTCTTTTTGGTAGCTTAATCATAAGAACTTTTATGTTTTGCTTGGAGCAATCTTATGTTAGTTGATCGATTAGAAATTTTCCTAAAGATGGATATAAGAGATGACAAAACATGTTGAAAGGGCTTGTGTTAGTGTGTGTGGATAAGCGAGGAGTAAGTAATATAACCAATATGACTATGTCGTGTAGGGACTATCAGGTGATGAATCTTGAGATGGGCCACTACAATTCTTAAAATAAAAGGACTGAAAATAATATTTTAACTAAGAAAAATAAATTCTTTATTTGTCCCATAGTTTTTGTGAGAATCATTTTTGAGTTAGCAATATAGCAATTAAAGATGTAACCTTTTAGTATGCGTTCTTATCAAATTCTTATCAAAATTCTCATTCTTACAAAACACCTTTCCATGTTATCTTTGACTTAGCAATTTGCCCAGTGAGGAAATCCTGGAAGTAGAAAAATTGCCGAAGAAATTATTGGGGAGAAGAAAAATAGAAAAGCTGGAAAAAATAACAGAAATAGGAAGAGTACTGAAAGTTTCCGATTTGTTGCTGAAAAACACAGCTTTTGTTTCTCATTTAATTTGACTATTTAAAACAAAATACATTCTAATTGGCAGAGGTGGCCAACAAAACTTGCGCCTAAAAATGGCCGAAATGGCCGGCTAAAAATACGCTCTTCCATTCTACATGTACCGTTAATTCAGATCACCTAGAAACAAAAATCAACTAAGTTTAAGGAAATGTGTGAATATCCTAAATAAAGAAAAAGGATAGTTTTTTATCTAATAATCTCCTACTAAAGGTTGTGTATATCTACCTTATCATTTGAACTCCGATCTTTGATTTTTGAAAATGTTGATCGATGCTATGTATACACGTAATATTCTCGAGTCATGTCATGAAATGCTTATGGAACTGAAATGTATTTTCATGTTATGTAATATGCCATGTAATGTAGGTTATGTGATATGTCATGTAATATAAGAAATGCATATGTGATGCTCGCAATGCTTATTTAATGTCATGTTAGGTATGTTAAGGGACCTCAGGCATATATGTATGTCACTTGCATCGGGATTCTTCCCCTTTATGTTACGAAAGAATGAAATAAGCTATTTATGTTTACCATGATATCATGCGGGTCATTTTCTGTTATGTGGTGTTCGGTGACGTGTAACACGTTGTGCCCGACCAAGTCAGGCCCAAGGGGTATGTATACGAGCCCGCCCGGTGGGTCAATGTTCGCGTACATGGGCCGTGTGTGAAGGAGTACCACACATCCAACCCCACTCGGAATAGAAAAGCGCCCAAGGCCATGTAAAAATTTATGAAAAGTTAGGTCCCGCTCATATGTTGCGTGTGTTTGCATCTCTAACCCCAACAGTGGAGTGACTTAGGCGCCAATGTACGGGGATATTTTTAGGAGTTTACGTTTATTAACTATTTTAAGTTAAAGCATTGAGTACTGTTTTATTTAGATTTATTTTGAATTCAGTTATTGAAGGTTTATTTTCAGAAATAGGTTTGTTTTGTGATTTATGAATTATGTATGCATTGGGTGACGTCATTAATTAGGTTTAGAAAATTAGGGGTGTTACATTGAGCCTCGGGAAGAAGTAAACGTCACTAATTAGGTTTAGAAAATTAGGTGGCCTTTTTTCCCACAGTTCGAGCATTGGATAGGCCTACCATCAGGGGACTTCTTCTTTTGATCCCCTTCTTTCCCGTGCGTGTGCCCCTGCAAGATTTTCATGGCTTCTTACCACCTTTGCGACTGGTGGACCCATTGCCACGATGTGTGTATTTTCGCGGTTTGCATTTTCTTCTACTTGAA